AGGAGGAAAAGGTGGAGGAAGAGATAGTGGAGGAGGTGGAGGAGGTGGTGGAGGAGAAGGTGGAGGAGGAAGAGATAGTGGTGGAGGTGGTGGAGGAGGAGGTGGAGGAGGTGGTGGAGGAGGAGGAAAAGGTGGAGAAAGAGATAGTGGAGGTGGTGGAGGAGGTGGAGGAGGTGGTGGAGGAGATGGTTGAGGAGGAAGATATAGTGGTGGAGGTGGTGGAGGAGGAGGTGGAGGAGGTGGTGGAGGAGGAAAAGGTGGAGGAAGAGATAATGGAGGTGGTGGAGGAGGTGGAGGAGGTGGTGGAGGAGAAGGTTGAGGAGGAAGAGATAGTGGTGGAGGTGGTGGAGGAGGAGGTGGAGGAGGTGGTGGAGGAGGAAAAGGTGGAGGAAGAGATAGTGGAGGTGGTGGAGGAGGTGGAGGAGGTGGTGGAGGAGACGGTTGAGGAGGAAGAGATAGTGGTGGAAGTGGTGGAGGAGGAGGTGGAAGAGGTGGTGGAGGAGGTGGTGGAGGAGGAGGAGAAGGTGGAGGAGGAAGAGATAGTGGAGGTGGTGGAGGAGGTGGAGGAGGTGGTGGATGAGAAGGTTGAGGAGGAAAAGGTGGAAGAAGAGATAGTGGAGGAGGTGGAAGAGGTGGAGGAGGTGGTGGAGGAGAAGGTTGAGGAGGAAAAGGTGGAGGAAGAGATAGTGGAGGTGGTGGAGGAGGTGGAGGAGGTGGTGGAGGAGACGGTTGAGGAAGAAGAGATAGTGGTGGAAGAGGAGGTGGAAGAGGTGGTGGAGGAGGTGGTGGAGGAGAAGGTGGAGGAGGAAGAGATAGTGGAGGTGGTGGAGGAGGTGGAGGAGGTGGTGGAGGAGAAGGTGGAGAAGGAAGAGATAGTGGTGGAGGTGGTGGAGGAGGAGGTGGAGGAGGTGGTGGAGGAGGAGGTGGAGGAGGAAGAGGTGGAGGCGCAGGGGGTGAAGGGAATCACAATCATGATCTGTATTCTTCCTAGAAGAATCCGATGAGCAACATCAACAACAACAACAAACAATACAGAAAGACGGATAGGAGTGCAAAGTACAGGAAAGGTAAACACATCACTAAAACATCAACATATAGACGCATCACTCAACTATTTTATTTGACCAGGTAAAGCCCGCCGCTGAGCCATGAGCTTCTTTCACAGAAGTCACCTGGCCATCAACAATGATAGCTCAACGAATTGGCTGATACCATCACCGCCAACATCACCGCCACCATCACCGCCACCATCACCGCCACCATCACCGCCATCATCGCCATCATCGCCACCATCATCACCAGCATCATCGCACCATCATCATCACCACCATCATCACCACTACCATCATGATCATCACCACCACCACCACCATCATCATCACCACCACCATCATCATGATCACCACCATCATCATTATTATCGCCATCATCGCCACCATCATCACCACCACCATCATCATCATCACCACCATCATCGCCACCATCGTCACCACCATCATCATCACCACCACCATCATCATCACCATCACCACCATCATCATCACCACCACCGCCACCACCACCATCATCATCACCACCATCATCATCATCACCACCATCATCATCGCCACCATCGTCACCACCATCATCATCACCACCACCACCATCATCATCACCACCACCATCATCGTCACCACCACCATCATCACCACCACCATCATCATCATCATCATCACCACCATCATCGCCACCATCGTCACCACCATCATCACCACCACCATCATCATCACCACCATCATCATCACCACCACCATCATCATCATCACCACCATCATCATCATCACCACCACCATCATCATCATCACCACCACCATCATCATCATCACCACCACCATCATCACTACCACCAGCATCACCACCACCATCATCATCATCACCACCACCATCGTCACCACCATCATCATCACCACCACCACCATCATCACCACCACCACCACCACCATCATCACCACCACCACCATCATCATCACCACCACCATCATCACCACCATCACCATCATCATCACCACCACCACCATCATCACCACCACTATCATCATCATCATCACCACCATCACCACCACCATCGTCACCACCATCATCATCACCACCACCATCATCATCACCATCATCATCATCATCATCACCACCACCATCATCATCACCACCACCATCATCATCACCACCACCACCATCATCATCACCACCACCACCACCACCATCATCATCACCACCACCATCATCACCACCATCACCATCATCATCACCACCACCATCATCATCACCACCACCACCATCATCATCACCACCACCACCACCATCATCACCACCACCACCACCATCATCATCACCACCACCATCATCACCACCATCACCATCATCATCACCACCACCACCATCGTCACCACCATCATCATCACCACCACCACCACCATCATCGCCATCACCGCGTCGACTGGTGGAGCTGCGGTCTCTCAAGAGGTGAAGTTTTGTGAAGCAACTCCCTCGACCCCCTCCTTGGGGGGGGGGGGGGTTTCGAGGGGAGGGGCTATGTTTGTGAGGGGGGTCGAGGGGAGGGGCTATGTTTGTGAGGGGGGTCGAGGGGAGGGGCTATGTTTGTGAGGGGGGTCGAGGGGAGGGCTATGTTTGTGGGGGGGGGTCGAGGGGAGGGGCTATGTTTGTGGGGGTCGAGGGGAGGGCTATGTTTGTGGGGGGGGGGTCGAGGGGAGGGGCTATGTTTGTGGGGGGGGGGGGGTCGAGGGGAGGGGCTATGTTTGTGGGGGGGTCGAGGGGAGGGGCTATGTTTGTGGGAGTTTCGAGGGGAGGGGCTATGTTTGTGGGGGGGGTCGAGGGGGAGAAGCTATGTTTGTGGGGGTCGAGGGGAGGGGCTATGTTTGTGGGGGGGGGTCGAGGGGAGGGGCTATGTTTGTGGGGGGGGGGGGCTGGCACCTGTTCGCGTGCACTGCGCGCGCGCCCCTAATAATACTCGGCACCTGCTGGGGCTGGGACAGATCTCGCGAGGCGACAGGAGGAGGCGGCTCGATATAGACACGGGGCATGCGCCACCACCATCACCGGCACCATCACCATCATCACCATCGGCACCATCACCAGCACCGGCACCATCACCGGCACCATCACCAACATGACTATTACCACCATCGATACCATCACCACCATCCGCAACCACCACCACCTCCATCGGCACCACTAACACCATCACCATTACCGACACCATCACCGGCACCATCATCACTATCACCACCATCCGTACAATCACCACCACCATCGGTACCACCACCAACGGCACCACCACCACCATCGGCACCACCACCACCATCGGAAACCACCACCATCATCATCAGCACCACTATCGCCACCACCATCACCACATCCACTACCATCATCATCATCATCATCCTCTCCACCGTCAGCATCACCACCGTTACCCACCACGCCTCCTCTCGACACCCATAGGCGCTGCTCGCAGGCACGCCTCGCGAGAAGGCGGAGTGAATGACCAAGTCATTGAATGAATTGCTCACGGAATGACACGCCAGGAATGAATTACGGAATGACGCGCTGGCCGGGAGAGCGGTGGCGCAGCGATTAGCGCCCAGCGCCAGCGGGCTGGGGGACTTTGGCCGTCAGTGCGAGTGATGTCTTAGCCCGAGACTGGCGCCTGACCACCTCGCCAACCCCGCATAGACCGGCGCGGTGAAGTATGGTCAAATATCCCCCGTGACATATGCCTTGAATAAGCCTTCGTCTAGAAGTTCATTGATGAAGGTCTGTTAATGAAATGATCGGTGCGTCGGACTAAGGAACGAGTGACTTGGCTGTATGCACGTTGAACTTCTTTTGCACCGTACGTAGCCAACCGTGCTAATTGGAGGTGCGGGGGAAGGACCACAAACTAAACACCACAACAACAACAACAAGTAGTAGTTCATTCAACAAGGCATCTGGTAGTGGTAGTGGTGGTGGTGATGGTTGTGGTGATGGTGATGGTGGTGATGGTGGTGGTGATGGTGGTGGTGGTTGTGGTGATGGTGGTGGTTGTGGTGGTGGTGGTGGTGATGGTGGTGGTGGTGATGGTGATGGTGGTGGTTGTGGTGGTGGTGATGCGTTCGCGGTGGCGCACACGCGCAGTCAACTCTGTCTCTTTGCTGGCCTCTCTGTGGACTCTAGAGGACGGCCGTTGCCCGAAACGTCGCCTATTATAGATGTTTCCTTCCATTCAATAGTGAGCGATTGAATGAGTGAACGGTCGACTCATGCCTGAATGAGTGAATACCTAATCCAAAGATCGAATTGGGTGGTACGGAATGTATCCAACGATCGTATACCCGATCCATGACCGACTTAGTCATTGTCTGAGTGAATGACTCACTGACCGATTTCGTAATTTGCCGAATGATTTTTCATGATTTACTAATTGACCGCGTGGACTACGAAAGCGGTAATTAACCGAATGAATTAATGTCGTACTAATTGACCGACTGTGTGCATGACTGATTGGCGAACAGTGTGACGGATTGAATGACTGAATAATTAATTCTAGATTTGAAGCTTTCGTGACTGCAATGATTCATACTCTCAGGTTTTTCGGTAAAGTCACGTAGGTAAAAAATAATAAAATTAGAAGTTAATAAAAGTAATAATGGAAATAAAATTAATTAATAAAATAATAAATCACGACGTTTCGGACCGTCACAGCTAAATATTACTGCAGTAATTTTAGCTGTGACGGTCCCACCTGATGACGGAGACTTGTGTTGCCTCCGAAACGTCGTGATTTTTATTTTATTAACTTCTAATTGTATTTTTTACCTACGTGACTTCACCGAAAAAACCCGAGAGACTGAACAATTCACTAAGATCGTCGCATTATTGAATCATTCACTTCTCGAACGAAACCTCGGTTCAATTCAATCACTGACCCCTCCGCCCCCCCCGCCCGCCCCCACCTCCTCCTACAGGGTCGCGACATGGAACGACGCAAGGGGTCATGCAGTTGATGGAGTTGACGAGGTGGGGGGTGGGTGGGGTGGACGAGAGGGGGGGGGGTGTGCTGATGAAGGTCGTGGCGGAGCGAGGAGGCGACGGCCGTGGAAGGATCTGCAAGTCGGAGCGAAGTTCGAACCGTGGTGGAAACCCGCGGGTGGAAGACCGCCACTGGGGGAGCCATCACAGAAAGTGCGGTGGAACGAGACATCGGAACTCATCACATGACCCATGATGGCACCTGGAATGGGGCCGTGACTCTGAATCCCAGGATGGAACAAGACATTTTGGGAACTCGGTACATGTTTGAACCATGACAGCACCTGCATTGGAATAGTTGTACCGGAAGTCAACGCCATATGGAACCATCACGGAACCGATGCTGGAACACAAGCCATTAATGCTGCGAGTAGACACGTGACGAGAAGGATTACTGGACGTGGTGGTGCCGGGCGTGTGGGTGATCTTTTATGAGTGGCGGAGAGATCCGGATCGAATGGAAACCTCCTGGATTTGGCCCCTAATAACGCCACTCTGTGTGTGTGCGTGTGTGGACATTACTTTGTGGGGAGCGGTGGTGTAGCGGTGGGCGCACTGCGCTACGAACCCGGCGACCCGGGTCCGATCACCGCTCACGGCCAACACCAGTGAAGATTATCTGAACCGGCTCCTGAGACTCCCCTAGGTCGACTCAGCCTGAAATGAGTACCTGGTGTGGTGTGTAGTTACATCGACACTAGAGAGACAAAGGCGGCCGGGCGTGGTGCTCGCCACCCGCCACCTCGCGCGCCGTGCCGGCCTTCATAGGTGCACTTGCCCCAACAGTGTGTTAAAGGCTGTACCGGGGGAACTTTGTCTTTGTGATACATCACATGGAAAGATAACGATCCATCGGATATCGCCTGGCTCAAGTGCAAGCGCTGTTAGCGAGCACCTATTAAGGCCGGCCGGCAGGGCGCACGAGAGGACGGAGGTGCTGGCGAGTGTTACGTCCTGGCCGCCTTTGTCTCCCCCCTCCCCCTGATCGTTACACGCAGCACCAAGTCACCTGCCTACTTAAGGCCGAGTTGATCTAGGGGTGGCCCAGAGCCGGGTCAGAATTCACTTCTAACCGGGAATAAATTACCGTGCTGTATGATCATACAAAGGCACGTATCCCCCATGTAGCCTTCAGATGCCGCTGGGGGCAAGTGCTGTTAGCGTCACGGCACGCGAAGGAGCGGGTGGTGGTGGTGGTGGTAGCACAGCACCACGCCCGCCCGCCTTTGTCTCCCTCGTACGGGCGATGTCTACCGCACCCCGCAGCCAGGTGCTTTGCTCATTTGAGGCCGAGTCGACCTAGGGGGAGGCCCGGGACCGCTCCTGATGAATCGACGCGGGTGTTGGTGGCCGTGCGCTCGCGAGCGCGGACAGACGCGTGTGCACGCGCGCGCGTGTTTACGGGTCTCTATTTTAGATGCGCAGCGCCTGAGTTACGGGGTGGAGCAGTCTCTATTTTGGGGGAGGGATGGCTATGGCGATGATGATGATTTCGATTTAAAGCTTTCGTGACTGCAGGGATTCATCTTCTTGGTTCCTTCGGTAAAGTCACGTAGAAGGGAAGTAATAAAATAATAAAAATAAAACATAATAAAATAATATAATAATATGATAAAATAATATAATAATATATAATATAATAATATATTATTTTATTATGTTTTATTTGTATTATTTTATTACTTCCCTTCTACGTGACTTTACCGAAAGAACCAAGAAGATGATGATGATGTTGATGCTGCTGATGATGTTGATGATGTTGTTGATGTTGCTGATGCTCCTGGTGATGTTGATGATGTTGATGATGATGATGATTTTGTTGTTGATGCTGCTGCTGATGCTGCTGATGATGATGGCTATAGTATTGGTGGTGATGTTGATGATGCTGCTGATGATGATGGCTATGGCGTTGGTGGTGATGTTGTTGACGGCGATGATGATGATGATGTTATGGTCCCACGTTTGGCGGATCACATGGAGATGTTTTTGTTTTCTTGTTTGCGAATTCGCTCCCAGTCGACACAACGCACTGGGAGCGCTGTGCAGTACAGCAACTGGGTGGCTTCGTTCGTCCCACCCGCGATTGTATTGCCGCTGTATGCATGTGCGTTAAACTTCTTTCGCACCGTACGTAGCCAACCGTGCTATATCGGAGATGCGGGGGGGATGGAAAACAAACTAAAGAACACACAAAGCAGCAAATGGATTTATACTCTTTGGTTGTTTCGGTAAAGTTACGTAGGTGAAAATGAAATAAAACAACTAAATTAAATCAGTTGTTTTATTTTTATTTTGTTTTGTTTTCACCTACGTGACTTTACCGAAACAACCAAAGAGTATGGATGCTTGCAGTCACGAAAACTTCAAATCTGGTGTGGATTTATTCTCCAACGCACCGGTGGGCTGTAGTAGCAACTAATCGATGCGCTGTTTTCGTGACAAGCCTCGCTGGCCGTGTCGGGTGGTGGAGGCTTACGACACATTCATACTTAAGCGATCTAACCCAACAAAACTGTATTAATGATCAATGTCCCTACATGTCAGAATCTAGTATTTACTTTGCACGAGGCATCCGATGAGTTACAAACCTAATTTTTCACAGATGTCCCAGTCGGGCGCACGGGATCAGAAGCTGACAACATCAGCAACCAGTACAGAACAAAAAAAAACACGATATGAGTGCAAAGTGTTTATGAAGGCAAACACTGCACTGAAAAAATAAATACGTCAAATAGGTAAAGGCATACACTGTGAGTTCTAATTACATAGGCACACCAACTCTTAAGATCGGGCAAAGTATCGTGACAACGGCAAGAACAGACCCAGCCCACAGCGACCCCGCCCTCCAATACAACATTGCACAACGTAGCACAGCACCCTCTTGAAGATGGGTCTTGAGACTCGCCGAGGCTTTCCTGGGTAAACCAAGGGCGTTGCTCAATTCTTATGATAAAGTTCTCAATCAGATTGAATGAATCGTCACGATTTACCACTCGCAGCTGCAGTGGTTGACTGCTAATAATGCTACAGGCCAGTACTACAACACCGCACTGTAATAATGCAGCACGGCACTGTGATGCAGTATAATAAAGTACTGCAGGATAATAAAGTACAGTACTATAATAATTGACTCATCTATCCCAGAAGACCACGCTGAGTCGCAGAACTGTTTATCAGGAGGGTCATGCCGCTGCGTTGTTTTTTTATTTTAAGTGGAAGGAAAGCGGAGCTCCCAGAGAAAACCCACGCCTTACGCGAAGGGTGCTGCCGCACAGATGGAAACAGATGGCGATTCGTCAACTTGCTGCACTGCTTAACTCCTGGCGAGCCAGGGGTACGGCTTCTCCTCGATGCTCACGGGTAGCGAGGTAGAGTTTCACGCCCCATCTGTGCGGTGACCCACCAACCCTCACGGCTGCCTCGACACTGCTGGATTCAAGGCAGCCACGTGCAACGTGACCACCACGTGCAGCGTGACCACCACGTGCAGCTTCACCACGTGCAGCGTGGCCACCACGTGCAGCGTGGTCACCACGTGCAGCGTGACCACCACGTGCAGCGTGACCACCACGTGCAGAGTGACCACCACGTGCAGCGTGGCCACCACGTGCAGCGTGACCACCACGTGCGGCGTGACCATCACGTGCAGCGTGGCCACCACGTGCAGAGTGACCACCACGTGCAGCGTGGCCACCACGTGCAACGTGGTGGCCACGTGCAGCGTGACCACCACGTGCAGCGTGGCCACCACGTGCAGCGTGACCACCACGTGCAGCGTGACCACCACGTGCAGCGTGACCACCACGTGCAGCGTGACCACCACGTGCAGCGTGACCACCACGTGCAGAGTGACCACCACGTGCAGTGTGACCACCACGTGCAGCGTGACCACCACGTGCAGAGTGACCACCACGTGCAGCGTGGCCACCACGTGCAGAGTGACCACCATGTGCAGCGTGACCACCACGTGCAGAGTGACCACCACGTGCAGCGTGACCACCACGTGCAGCGTGACCACCACGTGCAGTGTGACCACCACGTGCAGCGTGACCACCACGTGCAACGTGACCACCACGTGCAGAGTGACCACCACGTGCAGAGTGACCACCACGTGCAGCGTGGCCACCACGTGCAGCGTGACCACCACGTGCAGAGTGACCACCATGTGCAGCGTGACCACCACGTGCAGAGTGACCACCACGTGCAGCGTGACCACCACGTGCAGCGTGGCCACCACGTGCAGAGTGACCACCATGTGCAGCGTGACCACCACGTGCAGAGTGACCACCACGTGCAGCGTGACCACCACGTGCAGAGTGACCACCACGTGCAGCGTGACCACCACGTGCAGAGTGACCACCACGTGCAGCGTGACCACCACGTGCAGAGTGACCACCACGTGCAGAGTGACCACCATGTGCAGAGTGGCCACCACGTGCAGCGTGACCACCACGTGCAGCGTGACCACCACGTGCAGCGTGGCCACCACGTGCAGAGTGACCACCACGTGCAGTGTGACCACCATGTGCAGAGTGACCACCATGTGCAGAGTGACCACCACGTGCAGAGTGACCACCACGTGCAGTGTGACCACCATGTGCAGAGTGACCACCACGTGCAGCGTGACCACCACGTGCAGCGTGGCCACCACGTGCAACGTGGTGGCCACGTGCAGCGTGACCACCACGTGCAGAGTGACCACCACGTGCAGCGTGACCACCACGTGCAGTGACCACCACGTGCAGCGTGGCCACCACGTGCAACGTGGTGGCCACGTGCAGAGTGACCACCACGTGCAGCGTGACCACCACGTGCAGAGTGACCACTACGTGCAGAGTGACCACCACGTGCAGCGAGACCACCACGTGCAGAGTGACCACCACGTGCAGCGTTGCCACCACGTGCAGCGTGACCACCACGTGCAGAGTGACCACCACGTGCAGCGAGACCACCACGTGCAGAGTGACCACCACGTGCAGCGTGGCC